CTACACGTATTATAACAGATTTATACCGAACTGTTCACAACTTTTTCATTTTTCATAATTGTCTGAGATCTTTTAGTAAATTCACAATCACTTTTTGCGACTCTTCGTCACGGAATAATGTTTTTCGTTTAATTTCACTATCGCGTGTATTTCAGCTGGATGTCACTTTTCCTCGCGATCCAACGTTTTTACAAACGTTGATACGCATTTCACCGACCGATATTTCACACGAATGTTACGCTTCCGATAACTCCCGTACGACTGAGGAGCGTAAATATTCGAACTTGTTCGATCCTGTTGTGCCTCGAGGCTACGGGCAGTATTTACATTTTCGTTTCTGTATTTCTGGGAAATTGTGATAATAACATTCAACATAGTACACGTCCATACTCCCAATATTCCAAGAATTCTGATGTAATAATCTGCACATTATCTCTACGGCATACAATACAAGAAAGAGTAGAGTACGCTGTTTTTATACCGGCGATTACATGTTCGTAGAATGTAAACACTCGTCGTTGAAATTACACCGTTTAACGAGAGAAACATACTGGTTTACGGGTTTAGTAATTTTCTATAGCGCATAGAGTGAATCCTTTAATGTCAACATCGTTTGAGAAACACACACGTATAAAATTTTAAAATTAGTACGTAGATAATTACGAAGATGAAGATCACAATATGCTGCAATACACATCTTTTCAATTTGTATTAATTAGGGTACGAGAATTATATTATATTATTAAAAAGCTACCAGAACACATTTTTTTCGACTCTTCTCTGCAAGTTTCTCAAACTCAATCGCAACGCAGATACTTTCCCTGTCCCCTATCAATCGCGATTTAAAACAAATCGAATCAGACTCGTCCAAATAAAAATTTTAATTCAATATACAGATATCTCCAAGTGATCTTGGACTCTCTGCATTCGTTGCTCGTTGAAACAGAAAAGAAAAAAAAAGAAGAAGAGGAAGAAGTATTCGAATCGTGAGACACGAAAAGCCTGACCTCGAATTAAGAAAGAAGCCTCGTATAAAATCTCGAGGATCGAGGTAGCTCCAATAAAATTCAATTAAACGGAACGATCGTGTATCGCCATTAACGACGCTCCCAGGACTCGGGAGAAGAATCGAAAACACGAACAGGAAACGGTGCGTCAAAGGCGGTCGCGAGAGTCGAGGAAATTAGCTTGAACAACCTCCTAGGAAAGCTGCATGAGAGGCTCGTCCGTGTACACCTACACACACACACACACACACACACACACACACGTGTGATCCACGTCGCGGCGGGAGAATCGTAAATTGATTGTGCCGGCGAACAGGTAGGCAAGACTTAACGTAATACATTCGTCAGAAAGCAAGAAGGTGAAATCGAGCGATCTCTATTATTTAGCCAAGTGAAAACCGAGACTAAGTCAGAGACCTGAACGTCTCTCTCTCTCTCTCTCTCTCTCTCTCTCTTTCTCTCTCTGTCAATCTCTGTTTCTCCGGTGATTATAAATCGCGGCGTATTATACGCGCAAACGCGTGCATCGGTCATCGCCTGGTAAACGTGAGATTCCCTATAACCATCTGACGCGAATGCGACAGCTGATAATTGTTTTAAAGGATGCCCACTTTGTGTACGTTGCGATACGAGCACGTCCGATACTAATGGGCAGCCGTGCGAACGTTCGCGTGTGAACGTTGTGCTCAACCGAGATTCGGGTGCATTGCAGTGGTGTATTCGTGAAAGTATTCAAACACTCGAGCCATGGAAGAGCCATTTCTATTACTGTCGTTGTTACACCGAGACTTTCATGACGCAAAATAATTTGATGCAAAATAATCTGAAATTATTCACACTGGCGAGTAACACAAAGAAAACCACCCTTCGTCGTAAAATTGCCAAAGGAAAATTGAAATCGCCATCGACAACGGCATTCGCAACCGCCAATTCGCGGCCAATCCAATCAACACGCCAGTCAAAATTGTAACAATTGTAACCCCGCGTAATTGTTAAAATCGTACGAATTCATCGCGCACGCTGCTGTCGTTGAATGTATCGAGATCGCAACAGTGCCGCCCGTAGCGAACAACTTTTCATTTTCTCGTTTTCATCCTCTCACGGCCCGGCCCCGGGACGATTCCGAACGATGAAAGCATTATTTCGTTGAACGTGTAGCGTGTGCACGCGGCGCGGCAGCTACGTACACATGTACTACATACGCGATATATATGAAAACCCGTCACGTAACCCCAAGTACAAGTTGTTTTCGAGGGACGTGGAATGGCGGCACGCCTCTGGTAGCGCGATTAACAAAAGCGATCTATTAAATGGGCCATTGTGCTGTCCGAAGATGTGAATGACACCGGGCGGTGTGCGCCGCCACGGGGAAATTAAATTCTCTGCCGCATACACGCTACGGACACCGATTCGCCGAGCACTGATTGAAATAATGTGCATTGCACTGTGCTTCGCTATTTCCACGAGTTACCGAGATTAGGATTCGAAGATCCACGTAGGTGAATGAGTCTGGTTTCGAGAACTATTCGCTTTCAAATGTTTGTGTAGATTCCTATCGACATTCTTGGGATACAATATGGGTATAAATGTGTATGAATCGAATCTATCTAATAATAAACTAGCACCGCATTATTTGCAGCAGTATTAGTTTATAATTTCTCCATTAAAAAAATTACCCAGTTCGTAAGATGTTTTACTGGTTATTACAAGACCAGCAACGTATCAATTTATCCTTGCTCTTTGTCTCATTTCTTCAGGTCTTCAACTCTCTCTCTCTCTCTCTCTCTCTCTCTCTCTCTCTCTCTCTCTCTCTCTCTCTCTCTCTCATTGAGAAAATTACATCACACGGCAAGTACAATACAAAATTACACATCTTTCTGTCATTACATCATCATTGCAGCAACAGCGTTCAATGCTTGTAATTAGAATCCACTCGTTTAGCCTAACTTTCGTTACAAACATATTATACATTGAAATTCCTTGCTATTTTCGTATCGTTGTTACGTTGAAATAAATCATTTAGAAAAAAAAATATCAAAGAAAGAAGCTTGCGGTAATTTAGAGTCACCAAGGCTGCGGACTTTTCTGAAATTTTATTTTACGTATTTTTGTATATCGTGCACACGTTTTGCGGTGTTTCATTTAGTCCTTAGAATGTCTCACAAGGATGCGTACGCCAAAATCAAGACTCACGTTCGACGAAAAAAACAATTGTCAGATCTCGGCGAGTCTCGTCTATTCCCATGAAAATCACCCTCGGAGAAACGGAAAAGACTAACGAGAAGCTCAGACTAAAAAAGGAGCAAAGAGGCAAAAATGCGGGAGTGAAAGCGCAGGGGGAGCGAATCTCGTTGAAAATCTTGTCGTTGTGCCCCGGCACGATCCTCGGTATGCAAAGCTTAAAGGGGAGCTGAAACCTCGCAGCGAGGAGTTGAAGATAATCATGCTCATACGACCGTCCGCATTCCGAGAATTCGATACTCCACTCTACGGAGAAGAGGCTGTTCCGTGCGTCGGCGAGCCCGTTTTCACGATCGTTCAATTTGCAGTTCGACTCGCAGTTCGCAATGATCGTTCGTTCGAAACGAGCCGTGGAAAGAAACCACGTACGAGTGGTGATCTCGCCATCTTCTGTTCGCACGATTCCAACTCCATTTTTCCCATACTGCGAACCCGGGCAGCGCTCTTGGAAGAGTTGCGATTCACAACGCGTAATTTAGTTTTCAATATTTCGTCGTTTCGAAGTGAATTGAATCTGGTAAAATGTGTTAATTAATTTCAAACGATCGTGGAAGTTAATGAATCAAGAGTTAAATGGTACTTCAATTTCTGGAATATTTAATAAAATTCAATAGAATTTGGATTGAAATAAAACCGTGGAAATATTAAGAGGATCTTTTGACTTTCTTTTTCGCGGTCTGCGGATACTGAAAGAATTTAAAGTTAAATATCAAAAATTGGAAATGAAATTTTAGTAAAAATATTAGAAGTTAGTTAAAAAGATCGAAATTACTTAAAGTTATTACGTATAAAGATAAAATTTTATCTAAAGATTTAATAATCTCTATCCATCTTTTTTTACATAAATGTCAAATCAGATAACAATTCCTAGATAGTAATTAAATTTCTTTCCGGGGATATTTCAAGTCGCTAAAGCCGAAAATGTGGGTCATTTTTCACGGAACTGTTTTAGAGTATATACTTGCGTAATGTAATATCACTTGATATCATACTATCTACATGTTGGGACGATAGAAAACGATCTTATGATTAATTACGGATCAGAATTACCTAACATCCGTTAAGTAAGAATTGACAAGTACAAAAAGTTCGGAGAAACCAATAAGAATAGAACAATAAGTATAATTAATCCAATTTTCGCTATGAGAAACCAAAAGTATTTACTCAAATATTAAATCAACTTCAAATCCTTCCGTTCGCAGAGCACCATAAAAACATGATTGAAAATTTCCAATAGTTTTCAAATCAACAACACAAAGAAATTATTATTATGTTGGAACAATAGAATAATAAAATAAGAGACAGCAGAGCAATAAACCGTTCGTCGAATATTAGAATAATCAGAGAATAATTCTTCAAATGTACGACAGGCAATACCGTACGCTCTTCATAAAATCAACAAACAAGATTCAACAAACAATCCTTTTCCAAACGAAAGTGACACAGGTTTCTCCATGCCATTGAAACGTAATTCTCGCGACAAAAAAGCGAATCCACAAAGTGTAGTCTGACAAACGCAAAGTAACGTTAGCAACACGTGATGAAGTAATCAGCGCGATCCGTGGAACAGGAAAAAGTTGCACCGGCAAGCTGTTAAACCTGCATACGCTGGTTTAACATCCGCGATGCAGAATGTTACCAATGATGTGCGGTTGAGGAGAGGAAAGAAAAGTTGGCGATGGTTCGATTTTCGAGCGACGCTAGAACAGATCGCAAGAAGAATGGAGGAGAAAGGGAAAGAGAGCGACTTACCGCTGGTTGAGCTGTACTCGCCGATGTATCGCCTCGTCAAATATCGCACCACCACGGCTGAAAGGAAAAACGAGACGTTAAACGTGCGAAATAATTTTTCACCGGGGGAATATATGTACGTATATGAGTAGCAAAGCAATCGAAATGACAAACGGGTCAGTGTGATTTGTTCTCGGTGAGTAAAAGTTGCTCGAGTAACTTATTCGAATTCGTTACTGGTTATAGTAATTAGTTATAGCAAACAGAGTGCGGACGTCTCCATATTTTTTTTTTTACAAAAACGTCCTCCGTGCGTAAAAGTTTAAAATTTGTTTTGACAAGTTGAATCTCAAAATGTGTTTAACAGATATTTAAATACTATTTATCAATTAATATATTATTATATTATTATCAATCGTATTAATATATTGTTTTAATTAATATATTAATTTAACTTATGATAGATTAAACTAAATACTTTCAGTATGAATTGCCATTTAGTTTATAGACTGTTTAGTCGATTATTGAATATGATAGGTGAGGAAATGAAAAGAGATATTGCTAAACTTGCTTTCCTCAGTGTCCAATTTAATTTTCTCCCTTTCCATACGATTTGATAAAATCGGACGTGATACGATCTCTCAGAGTAATTTAAATATATTTCATTTAAACTTCTCGTCGGTGTCAGTCGCTGAATGAAAGTGCCGCTCGTTCGTTTCTTAATTTTAACAGAAACTGGTTTATATAAGTGAAAAGCGATTAATCATCTGCGTAATTTCTCTGTTTGGTCTGTGTATCCTTATCCTCAGAAACTTTCCTACTTTTCGTACTTTGTAGAAACGAAACGGTCTAGCCGGTAATTTTCACGTACCGAATCTATCCTCGGTCTTGAAGATGTTGAAGTCGCTTCTTTAGATTTGTCGAACGTTGCGCGATCTTTTTAACAAAATTAAGTAAGAGTTTCAATTTCCCATCGAACACCATCCACGCACGTTATATCATAGAAATTGATTATAGAAATGTTCATTTCCACTAAAACGTGAATTGCAACTACTTGTTCTTCAAACGAATACAGTGTTTGCCTCGTGTCAATTAATTGCCAGATGATCCGCTTAACCGCGCGAGGGTTAAAATTGAATTTTCGCGGGTTGAGGCGCTTAGGCGAAAGAATGAGAAAACAGCCGGCGTGGAACGAAGATCGTACGTCATTGGTACTGGCGATAAAAGTATTCTCTTTAAGCGTAGCCGCCACCACCACCACCACCACCACCACCACACCTCCTGTCGACAGCTCGTCGAGACGCACGGGGCAACACACACACACACACACACACACACACACACACACACCGAGTTCCATTCCTCCTGTTCCTTTCCTTTCCTTTCCTTTCCTTTCCTTTCCTCGTGTTTGAACCCTGCAATTTCGCACGGGCCAAGGACTCGCGCGTCTTCCTATCGATCCGTAATTACACGGCTGTAACGACCTAGCACCTCGAAGAATAACCGTACTAGCCGCAGATCGGGCAGGTATAACGAGGGTGAAAGAAGTGGGCCCCGGTTGGTAATTTTCGGCTGGTTCATGGAAAAAAATTTCGCGCCGCCGCGTTCTATCTCGCAGGGGGTTGTTTCTTTTTCCAACGCGCACGATTTCGCGAAACTCGTTGCCACACTCGAGCTGTGAGATTGACATTTGGAAGAAAACTCGCTTCTAGCGAAGTGGAAAGTACGATTTAAATGGATTTAAACTGTAAATGGAGACTTAGACTGTAGGAAATTTTCAAGTGCACAATTGCACGAAATATGTAAAAATATCCAAGGTGTCTTTTTCTTTCATTTTTTACGATATTAAACACAATTTTCCACCGAGGTTTCACTTTTTTTTCTTTTTAATACAGATTTGTATAAAAATCCGCACGATCTGCTGTAAACCGTAAGCTTCGCTCGGAGCATTAAATTGCAAATGAAATTATTAAATTCCAGAGCGTCGAAATTTCTCTCGTACGAAAAATTTCAATAAACAACTTCACATTTGCCCGTTCCCTGATATCTTTAAATGAAATCTCACCGTTCCGGTTCAAGAATTCTTCACTCACCCAATGCCGTACCATTACAAACTTCATCAACTTCGCCATCAACTTGGAACCAGTTTACAAGTGAAGTTACACGGCAGAAAGTAAGAAATTAATGTGTACATCGAGTCTTTTACAGCCGTTTAATATGCAAATATATACAACTAATCGCCCAGTATATCATGTCGTCAACGATAACACAATGCGGAATCCTAAATTCCAAACTGTCACAGTCAAACTTGTTTCATCAGTTAAACATCAGACATTCGAAAGAGAATTGAATTATATCAAATATTTGTTTAAAAGATTAAATGTACACGATAAAAGAATAATTGTAATAACTACAAGAACACACTTTAATGCACACACTTTAACGTACTAATGTCATTTAATGCCAGACTTTGTGGCTTTCCGTTTCAATTTTTTTACATTTCCCTTTACTTTTAGTAAACTAAAACCAATAAAATTTGAAAAATATTTTTTTAATCATTTTTTTTCAGAATTTTTGTATAGCTACAATTGATAAATAAATATACATTTTGAAATACTTTATTTGCTTTATTTTTTCTTTATTATTGTTATTAATATTATTATTATTATTATTATTAATAATAATACTAATAATTATCCAAATGATCGTACTTTGCTACGAGGAGAAAAATAACGTACGTAAAAAAATATATCGACATTACTCGTCCTTCCATCGCGTAAGAAAATATTCAGATCCAAGTAAACACCGACACTGTTAAAATCAAACGTTTAACACAATTTAACAATAACGGTGATTTACCAACGTTCCAGTGAAATAATAAAACTTTCGTCGCGCGAAACTTCTCTTCACGGGGGATTAAAGCGGGGTTAAATTAAAATCTCTTCATCCTAACGGAAAGGTTATCGTTCGCCTCGTCCCACCCTCCCCCCGTATGAATCTTCTGAACTTCGTGAAACCAGTTCGGGAGGGACGAAGTGCAGAACCGAGAGGCAAAGCGAGCCCCAGACTTTGCGAATCAACGGAACACGATGTCCGCGGTGCTTCTCTCGGGGTTTCTCTCTTTCCCGAGTCCGCGAGCAACCACGGCGACAGATTTATAAACGGTGTATTATAGGAGAGCTCGGGGAGAGCACCGGGACCGGCGCGGCGGCACCGGCCTATGTACTCGATAAGTCTTCGAGGGTCGAACCTCGAGAAAGAGAAAGAGAGGCACGTCGGCGACATGTTAAAGTTCCTCTCGTACGTATCGCGAAGTAACGAAGAAATTTATGAAATGAAGTATCCACCAGAGCTTGCACGTGACACTCCCGTGTGAGCGTGCGTGCGTGCGCGTACACGTTGCGGGCGAATGTACGAGCGTAGACTTTAATGACATTTCCTGTACATCGTGCGGCTGTTAATTATCGTTATTACGTATCTGACGCGAGTTTTTCCAGTTTCGCCGGCGACCAGTGTAAGACACGTCGTGTCGGGACGCGAAAGGAACTTCCCTTCCTCTGGTTTCGCCACTCGGTAACCTCTCTTTTAACGGCCGCGTGTGCGCCGAGTACCGTACAAGTAATACTTTCTTCTCGATTCGTTCGATACAGTCAATGTTTCAAACATCAAAGAATTGCACGTCAGAGAATGAAAATTCTTTCTGACGTGGAATTATTTTTGCTTTGGCATTCATGTATTTCGTCACGACTGTCTAAAGTCTAATTTAGTCGGAAGTGAAGTTTGAACAAACACGTTTATTTGAAAATTTCGTTACGATTAGTTATCTAAGTCAACATCATTACGATTAGTCTAAAGTCAACATCATTACAATTTGGTGCCAAGAACGGGAATTATTTACGACTTAAATCAACCGAAACATCTTCGTCTACTCATCGTATACTTTCGTCTGGATTCATTCGGCATCACCGTGTATCGCGGAGCACGTAACGTATCGCCCGTGTTTGCGAGCGCGTTAGCAACTTATCCGACCTCGATAAAAGCCACTGTTGACGCGTTTCGATTCAATTCGTTTCGGTGAGCGCAAACGATCCAATGCTCGCCTCCTGCTTGCCTCCGCGACACACTCACAGTCTCGCAACAATGCGAAGAGCAGAGATGCCATGGAGGTGTTATAAATTCCCTCCCCGTGAACTTCCACGTTAAATCTTGATACCGCAATCCGTGTGTGCCTCGGATGGTTTCCCTCGGCTCTGAACTTTCGTCGACAAGAGGCGTTCTCCGACTACTAGAGAGTTCAACGCGTATTTTCGTTCGACACAAAGGTACAAATTGCGAGCGGCTGTGCAAATGTCAGATCCAGCATCCTTGCATCGTGTGCCACTTGGATCGTTCGAGGCGTGCTTTATTGGCTCGAACGAGTCAGTAGTTTGGTTTTACTGTTTCAAGTAAAGTGTATATACACATGTATATATATATATGTGTACAATTTTTATATTTATACTACTATTTATGTATTTCATATATATTTTTAAATTTGTTTATCATTAATCATCAATTGTACGTACATATATGTATATATATCTTTTGCATATATATGTGTACATGCATTGCACATTTATTACCTATATATGTACACAATATTATATATAATCATGTAATTATTAATATGAACAATTTCTGTACATACATGTAATTTACATACAATTATATGTATATTATATGTATACAATTTTTGTGTGTCCAGATATATGTATATCTTGTATAGTAAATATAAATAGAAATTTGAAACTGATCATTGATCACGTTCACACGACCTACACCTGCCTACACGTAATTTACCAGCTCTGCTATTTGAAATTAATAATTAATCTTAAAAACTTACAAACGTACAAACAACGTACAAACAAATCAATCTGAATCACTGCACTGATCAAAAATCAATCGATGCTATGTTCGCACATAATTCAAAACAGTCTCGGAATCTCTGTCTTCGTGTCTTCAATGCCACAAATTATCTTCTATAGAAATCTCTTGCTTCGAGCAAACGGACAACAATTTCCTCGGTGAATAAATATCTC